CAAATCAACATCAGCTCCATCTCTGGAAATAACAGTGAAACGATAGATCTCTTTCAAGCAGAATGCTAACAGTTTGAAAAGTAAAGAAAACTGCAACATGGCTACTGCAATTCATAAAACTTCTATATGGAAAAAACAAAAGAAATGAACAAGCCCAAAGCAGATGTCAAACAAATGCCCAACCCCTGGTGTAAGGGAGTATTCTTCTTTTCTCTCCTTCAGTCCTGTTGTCTGAAAACCAGACCTAGAAGATTTCTTCTCTCTCTTGAGCAGGTTTTGAAGCTGTACAGGGGAGGGGGTTGTAGGGCCAGGGTGATCACCCATATACCCTGTTTTCCAGTTCCCATTATGAAGCAGTGCAAATCATGCATCCAACCAGATGTTGGTGGACAGCAACTCCAAGCAACCTTGATTAATGGTTGAACTTACTATAGCGGCTGAGATGTGAAGTCCAGCAAAAGCTGGACTGCAACCTGATTCCCATGCCTGCTCTAATGCGGGCAGTTGCATCCGCAGATGCATCTGGCACTATCCCATATTCTTAACACTGCTTGGCCAATTCAGGAAACTCTTCCACATACAGGAATTTTGTCTGAAGACAGCCTTAAATATTTTAACATCCGCAAATGACATTCTTTGTTTATTTGGTAGTGAGTAATACATTTGGATGTCAGAGCCAGCGTGGTGTTGGGGTTCCATGCAGGAATGACACGCCGAGACAAGAATGGGGGCGCAAATGCTTGAGAGTGTGTTTTTCCCTCTCGCCTTTTATTAGCAATCTGTTTACAGGATGCTTGCTGCTGTCCATCATTCATTAACTGGCAGTAGATGCAGGACCCAAAGGTCAGAGTAAGTAAACAGGACACAGGAAACCAGCCAAGTTTACTCATTAAGTTTACTCACTAGACTGTAGACTAGCTAGGTTATTCGTATGTTTACTCATTAGGCTGTGTGTAAATCTCAGCCAGATTAGTTATTAGATTTGCGTACGTGCGTAACTGCAGCACTGTTTTTGAGAGAGGGAAACATGGGACTTTCGTGGTTTGCCAGCGAATTCCCCACAGCGTGGTGTAGTGGTTTGAGCATGAGAGCATGACTCTGCAGACCAGGGTTCGAATCCCACCTCAGCCATGTAAACCCACTGGGCGATCATTGGGAACACACTCTCTCATCCTCAGAGGATGGCAATGGCAAACCCCCTCTGAAGAAACTTTCCAAGAAAACTTACTGAAACACCTTAGGGTTTCAGTAAGTTGGAAACAACATCAAGGCACACAGCAGCAGCAGCAACAACAACAACAACAACAACAAATAGATTTAGAAGTTGGAGGCAGGAAGATATTCCCTTCTAAAAGCTACCACCATATGGTTCTTTGTAATGTCAGCCTTAAATTACCATTGGAAGCCACGACATAGCCAGTGAAGAAAAAGATGCAAAGTAGATAATATCAGCAGCTAATTTCTAACATTTTGAATCAAACTAGAGTCAGCAGCGAATGGAGACATGAAGAAAGCCGAAGGGCTCCTTATCACCTTCCCTAGTATGAAGAGGAATACAAGTTTGTGTAGAGCCCTCTTCTTGTTATGTGTTTTTGTCACATCATTGATACATTTCTTCAGGATCTTTAATGGGAAGAAGGCAAAAAAGCAGAATGAATGTCTTTGCAGCCATATTTTATCTCCACAATGAGCTCACAGATTGATTGTGAAGGGCTCCATTGAAAACTGGGAGAGAACCTGCGGCTTCTGTAAAAAGGAAAGCAAAGTACAGAACAGTGGAGAAGCTGATAAAACTTGCTGTTCTCCAGCTCTGTCATCAGCTCCTTCAGCTTTCTCTGCATAGCAGACAAGAGGGTGGCCTTTAAAAAGAAATAAAGGGCAGTGTGATGTAATGGTCTTGCTGTGATGAATATAGGGGCTAGAGTGTTGGATCTTGGAGAACTGAATTCAAATCCTCACTCAGCCATGAAGCTCAATAGGTGTCCATGGATTAGTCACTGTGTATCAGTCTTACCTACCTTCCAGGTTTGTCAGGATGATAACATTTTGGGGCGGAAAGAGGGCACCATGTACACTGCCTTGAGATCCTGGAAAGAAAAGCACAGTGTAAATACAGTGATACTCAGGGGTGTATTACTAGACTACATCATCCTCTTTTGTTTTTATTTTTTAAATGAGAGAATGTAGTGATTTCAATACATTACTAGTGCTTTAAATCAAAGCTGAAGGTTTGCTGCAAGGAAATATATACCACAAATTTCAATTCTCTGCTATTCCTAACTATGGGAGTGGGTGGAATCCAGCTTCTTGCTAAAAAAATTACTGAGGCTCATTTAAAAGTCCTATTTTATTTATATATTTTCCTCAATTGATATTCTGCTATGCTGTGAAATGTAAAGCAAGTTTTGACAGTGAGTAGTTCCTGTGTCTCTTCATTCACTGGAGAGTTAATAACATTGTGCCCATTTCCCAGGCCTGGAACTTGAGACAGCTGACAAAAGTTAAAACAAATAAAGATGAAAATTGACATCATTAAAACATATGGAAGTTAATTAATATTAAGCTATTGATAAAATTTAAAAAAAATTAAAAGCATACCCATTGGAAAAACAAGAACAATATGTTGTGCAACATTTCTACATTCACCAGTCCTGATTGCCAAGAGGGACAGCAT